GGCCCTTTTTAATACCCCTCCAATCCCCCAGATTGCTCAAGTTCTTCAAGCCAAGTAAAAAGGGAAGTGGACCGGATAATCATTAGCATCCTAGTATCATTTTGTTAATGACATTTGTATTTACTTTTGAAAAACAAACCTGCTTATGATTCTCTAAGCAGTGTGACTTTTGTGATGAAATTTAAGTAGTTGCCTTTGAGGGAAAAGTGATAGGGTCCTTGGTCTCTGTCTACCTGATGCATATTTATGTAGATGAGTCTTACCTGTAAATCTTGAAGACACAGACACACTATTGATATTTAAATAAATTAGCATAATTAGCATATCCAGCTCTTGATTCCCTACTTCATTGCCTTGTCATTTTTTATTCAATGGATTCATAAGACTTCATGCATTCAGATTATTGTGCCTTAAGTCTGACCCCCAAATAATTAACCTTTAGTTTTAATTTATTTTGTTCAGGTTTTTACAACAAAGCATGGCTCCCACAGATATGAAACAGCATTTCATTTTCATGAACTAGACATTTTCAGTGGATAAATACATAAATATTGCTGGAAATGTTGAATTCTATTCATTTCAAAGTGACAGGTTTGTTACTTTGACATCATCAAAGATTCATCAGGTCCTTAGAAGAATTTAAATAAGGTATATACTGTTTCCAGCTTGGAAATAGGCCAACATACCTTTTCCTCATTACCAAAGTGTCACAGTGGAAAGTGTCTTTTCACTGTCTTGAGATTTGTTTTACCAATCATCTACTGAGGAATTTGAAGTTAATCTTATTTATTATGACCATATAGTCATTTGTAGTCATTATAAAAATTTGATCAGAAATTAGTTTTTAAAGTTTTATAAGAATCATTTTTAGCAGAAAATATTTTCTCTCAGATATGAACTCAGGACCTTGCACTTGCAAGGCAGGCCACCGAACCGCTGAGCTAAATCCCCGGCCCCTGCTGTTATCTTATTTTTATTGTTATTACACAAACCAAAGTCAAGGAATGAGTCAATTTGATGAAGCTTTGCCTATGCATTTATACACCCACGTGACAATCACTCACGTGAAAGCACAGAACATTTCCAGGACCCTACAGGGCTTCCCTGTGCCCACTGCGGTTGACACCGCACCAGCGCAGCCACTGATCTGACACAGTTTAGGTGTGCTCTCTCTGGAACTTCGTGTCAATGAAACTAGGCAGTTTATACTTTGGAGGGAATGATCCAATTCCACTTAATATTATGTATGTGAGATTAATCCAGTTGTTACATGTATCATTAGTTCATTCTATTTTATTGCTATACAGTGTCTCATTGTATATAACACAATTTATTCTCTTGTTGAACTAATTTTGGGGTTGCTTCCGAATTTAGACTATTATAAGTAATGCAGTCATGCATATTATTATCTAAGGAGATCATTTACACTCATTTTTTATACTACCATTTCTCTTGGGTCATTAAGTTTCCAAGTGGATGGGGTTCATATATATTTAACTTTAACAAACACTTTGAGACAGCTTTCTAAAATGGTTGTACTAATTTCTACTACCACAAGAAATGTAGGTGGGTTGTTTTGGTGGGGAAGTACTTATACAGATACCACTGGAAATAGCAAATTCTATTTATTCTGTATCACATCCTCATGGATACGTGGTTCTATAATTTTAACCATTTAATGGTATCTTCCCAAAAGTATTAAAAGTATCACACCACAATGATACATGCACACCCATGTTTATAGCAGCACAGTTTGTAATAGCTAAATCTTGGAAATAGCCCAAGCCCATCAAATTCACACCACAATGATACATGCACACCCATGTTTATAGCAGCACAGTTTGTAATAGCTAAATCTTGGAAATAGCCCAAATGCCCATCAAACAATGTAAGGATAAAAAAGATGTGATTATTTTTTTACAATGGATTACTACTCAGCCATAGAGAAAGATAAACTTGAGACATTTACAGCTAAATGGATGCAACTTGGGAACATATTCTTAAGTGAAATAAATTGGACACATATGGGTGAATATTGCATTGGCTCTCCAGTGTGAGAAACCGAAAGGGGAAATGAGGACCAAAATGTAAAATAGACAACACAAAACGGGAAGAAATTGTTCAAAAGGAAAAGGGAGCTGTGACGGAGAGGAGAAGAAGGAAGGGGAAGAGTGGAAACAAAGCTTTTGTAAATAAGGGGATGGAAAGGTTGAAGGGAGGGGAGGGGGTTGGGAATCGAGATATGTTATGTTCAGGTACAAATTCCCTTTGATGAATGTGATCATTACTTACATATAAATTGTACCAATAACATTGTTTTTTTAAAAAAAGTTTAATCAAAAATGGTACCTGTGGTTTTATTCTGTATTTCCTCGATTACTAACAATTTGGATACTTTTTCATATATCGGTTGGCAGGTTGAATATTCTCTTTTGTGAAGTGCTTTAAAGTTTTTTTGTACATTTTAAAAATGAGTTTTTCAATATTTCTGGTAGTAATTTGTAGGAGTTCATTGTATATTCTGAACATGACACTTTTTGGGTATATGTTTTGCAAATGTCTCAGTTGCCTTTTTCACTCTTGTAAGATTGTCTTTTGATTAAAAAGGATTAAAATGAAGTCCCATTTATCAGCCTTTTCCTCTGCGCCCCTTTCAAAAACTTCTTTGCAACACCAGCCCTCACAGAAAGCCTGTGACTGTTTCCTGTGATTCCTGCATCTGTTTGTTTCGCTTTTCACACTTACTATTGTCTCTGGTGGATTTCTGGGCAATGTTCAGCATTTCTGTCTGGACAGCCAGTTGATGGAGCACCTTTTTCCAAGCAGAGCTTCCTGTCCTGCAGCACCCTGCGTGCTCAATACAGAGCCTGCTTTTACACGGGCCGGTTCCCGCAGCCTACTCTGGGGACCCTTCAGTCTCTTCCACTGATTGGCTTTTCATCATGGGGCACAATCCCACATTATAAAATTGCCTGATAAACAATAGTTTAAATTCTCCAAGTTGTTCTTGAGTCTTTTTCTTTACATATTTTAGTGAGTTTTTTTGTAGTCCCTGTATACTTGAGAATCAGCATATCAGTTTCCACATGCACTAACATCAATCCACTGGAAGTTTAATCGTTGCACTAAATCTAGGGATAAAACTAAGGATTGAAGTTCTAAAAATATTGAGTCTTTCCAGCTAGATACTTGCTTCATTTCATCAGTGTTTAGGTCTTTATTTTCCCCAGCAATATTCTCTAGTTTTTAGTGCAGACATCTTGGGGAAGATACTTGGGTTTTACAAAAAATACTATAAATGCAGACAAAAAGTTGGTCTTCTGGTTAAATATTTTAAGATGAAACCTTGTTCTATCCTAAGGCCTGTGAGGAACTGGTCCAAAGAAGGGCTGAGGAGCAGAGAACTTGGACTGGAGAATCAGCAACTTTCACTGCTCACAGAGCAGATAGACTTGGTTTCAAGCAGCTCATCTCCTATCTGTATTTAAAACTTTGAAGTCGTAAAACTCAAACATAAATTTTAGACATAGAGAATTAAACTTGTGATTGCATAATGTCAAAATATTAGTTTAGTTTAAAATCTTAGTTACTGTGGTAGATTAACTAATGCCCAGCTGAACGGAGTCAGCGTCGTTGTGGGTGTGGAGGACCCATCTGAGGATGGTCACGGCCCCAATAGAGAACTGGAGGTGAAGAGGATTAGCTGCTGATTTTCCTGGAGAAGCTCGCCGAGGCTGGTTTTCCTGATGCAAACTCGGCTGTGCTTGGAGGAGCTCTGGGCCTCACTGTTGCTGGGACAGGCTGCTGTTCCCCTCGGGGAGCTCTGGTCTTCACCTTGAGCGTCGCTTCTTGGCTCCACAGCAGATCCCCCAGCCTGGCGGCACAGACCCTGTACCCGCTGACACAGGCTTTCCAGCTTTCTCCACTGGCCTTTGGGCCTCCCGGTGCAGATCCTTGGTATGGACTTGTGGGAGACATCGCCATGGGCTCTAGGCCTCCAGCTAGAGTCGTGCGGGACATTGCTGGGACCCAGGCCCTCGGCTGGACCCTTTGGGTCTAGTGTGTGAACAGATCTCTTACACTACTCTGCATTTGACTTTCTGGGTGAATATTATGAAATAATCTTATAATCTTGTAATCTTATCATCTTAAATCTATTCCCTTGAGAACCCTGAATACAACAGTTGCCTTGACATAATTAGAAAATTTATGGCAATTTTGTATCAACCATTCCTTAAGAAACTAGCCCCAAAAGAGATTCCAACATATCCTTAGATGTTTAAATGCTACAATTTGCATAAACATGGCTGCATTGCTCTGGTGTGGCCGTATTGGACATGTAAATTCACTGTCATTGGAAAATTATTTTTTATTCTTTTGGCTACCACTAAAATATTGGAACAAAATTAATATTTTGTCAAATTTTTCCTCTTTTTTTCATTTCAGGATCCCTCTGTATGGTAGAAATCTTTATTTTGTGGCTCTAAATTTTATTTTAGTTATTTCCATTCATATTTCCTGTACTAAAAGTTTAATATTACCTGATACCAAAAACGGAATCAAATGATGGTGAAAGATAGGACTTCAGTTGTTTAACTAGTAAAGTTTATTTTGAATAAGAAAATTTAATGATGTGGTTAAAGTTAACTAATTTGTCAGTGTCCAATATGTCAAAACAGAGTGCTAGAATAATGGTAATAATAATAATAATAATAATAATAATAATAGCAAGGACAAGTACTCTATGCCAGTCTTATAAATACCATACATGAATAATCAAATGAAATCCTCACAAACACGCTCAGAGGAGGGTAATAGCCAGGAGAAGGGAAACTGGATCAAGCCCAACCTAGGCAGTTTAGTGAGATCTTATCTCAAAATAAAAACGAAAAAAAGCTGATGATGGGGCTCAGTGCAAACACCATGGGTTCACGCCCCATGACAAAAACAAAAACAAAATGGAAAATACAATGCAACTAACTTGTACTTTTTTTTAATAGAAAAATTATGTCCTATACTGACAACAGAGGGAAGACAGTTTGCTCAGGATGACAGAAATAAACTTGAAGTTTCAGGTAAGCATTATAACCCTTTGTAAAGAGGTATTTGTGGAAAATTTTCACTAGATGTGTGATACACTGGGGTGATTCTTTGGCATTGCAATTTAAGATCATAACTGACATAAAAAATTTAAAAGTAAGTACTTTAAAACAGCGAAGTTCTGTGTAGATTAATCTAAGATCAGCAACATCTCAACCTATTGGAGAAAAAAGTTACTTGAAATGATAAAAGTTGCAGGTACTATAGAAATTTTGCCAAAAGCAAATGTATGAGAAAGACATCACAAGTAGCATAGCGTTCCTATCTTTCTTCTCCTTTCCTTTGCCCTCCCCTCTCTTCGTCCCTCCTCTCTTCCACACCCTCTGTCTCTCTCTTATACACACACCCCACATATATATTGCATTTAACTTCTAAGCTTTTGTCATTGATATAAATTCTCTGAAGCCATGATTTTCCTTTTTAAATTTCAGATGAATAGCTGTACTACCTTTGTCTAATTTTGATTTACCCTTCAGAGTTGCTACAACAAGCTACTGTAATTACGTACTTAGGATTGTCCCCAGCTCAGTGATGGTGAACCTTTTAGAGACGAACACCCAAACTGCAACCCCCAGCCCTCTTATTTATATCACACAGTGCACACTGCAGTTCAACCTGAATCCTGAGGTTTTGATGTGAAAGAAAAGACTCAAACAACTCGTGGCCTCATTGCAGAGAATCCTCTGTGTGCTTGCTGTGGCACACAGGCCCCAGGTTCCCACCAATGTCCTGGGCAAAAACAAAACAAAACAAAACAATTAGTGTTTGAGTCCTTTGAAAGGTATTTATGAATCTTTCTTCAGAAAATTGGCTGCACATTCTATACGCAAAGTGAATTTCATCTTTCTCCACCCTAGAAGGACAAAACCAGTCAAGGAGTTTTGCTCAAACTGCAGGATTTTATGTGAAATATTCATCTGTAAATTTATAACAACAAAAAAATCCAGTTTAAAAAAATCAGTATTTCTAGAAGTTTATGAAATTCAATAAAACTACTGGATTAAACAATGTGTCACATTTTACAGGTGTTGATTTAGGAGAGAGCTTTTCTCTGAGACATGCATTTTGTGAAGGTGATAAAACCTGTTTCAAATTGGGAAACGCCCTTCTTATTAGAGATACTATGTAAGTAAAATAATGATTTTTCTTTACATTTTAATAATATCAAAGAAGCTATTTTGTATGGAGATTGCAAATCATTCATTTAGAGAATGCAAAAGCTTCCTAACAGTGCCATTGCCATGTGAATGCTGTAGGATATTTATATATTTGCTGTTTATAAAACTTTTTACAGTCTGGTCTTTGTGGCATAAATGCAAATTATACCTATAGAGGCATGATCTTTAGAGAATGGTAATTAAATACCTTTTTGACACCTAAATAAAATTAGTTTAATAATCAGATACTTCATTAAGACCACACAGAAAAATGTTATGCTTAGGCTTAAAATGTAGTTTCAGATACTGGATTAGCGAGGAGAGGCCACCTGGAAATACCTTTTTTTTTCCCTCCAGTTCCTACAAAGAGGCAAAGAAAATCCCAGGAACATTCAACCAAGGACTTTTTTTTTTTTTTTTTTTTTTTTTTTAAGCAGAACTAAATAAAGTAGTACCAGATTCTTTGATTCCTCTCCCAGGCTGGCTTATCTCTTTGCACTGGATTATGGAGGCCTCCTGTGGGGCTCTTTCCCATTTGCTTTTTTTGGGATTTTAGAGACTATGGACTAGTGAGAAGTTGGCTGACCTCCACTTACAGGCCAGCTGGGTTTCCATTTTTTCCCTTCTGTTTAAAGTAGACATAATCAATGTTAGACTTCAAAATATGAACTTTAAAACATAAGACATAATCAGAGACAAAAACTGATACTCATTGTATTTGTTTGTATATTTACTGTGCTTCATGATAAAATAAAATAATTTAGTCATTAGATATTTATTTTATATATCCTACAGAGTAAAAATTAAAGAAAAAATGCCTTACAATTATATTTGTAAATCTTGATGTTTGTTATGGTAAATTTACCAAAGTTTTCCTTTGCTATTTTACCTTTATTCTTTTCTATGAATATAGCTAGAATTAAAAAAAAAATCACCCATCAACAGATGAATGGACGGAGTAGTCTTCCGTCATAGATCCATTTATAGGGAAACCGATACATTCAGAGATCGTAATGCTTAGTGAAATAGATACAGAGGATTAAGTATTACATAAGTTTTTAAAATATGAGAAACCCAGAGAAAAATAAAAGATGATTAGAAACAGGGCGATAAATGTTTTGGAGACGGGAAGGGGGCGTGGGGAGAAGGAGACAAAGAAGGAGGGGAGGGGAAGAGGAAGGGAGACTGATAAAAATGCGCTGTGTACACGGACCAGTTCCAAACACGCACTGCACGAGAACTGCCATTGAAAGAGTGACATTTTGTCAACAGCTATCCGGGAAGATTCTCCTGAGGGTGGCAATAATTGGAGATTGAATTGATCGTAATTAGAAAGCTGGGAGGAAGGCAGGTAGCAGACATGTTCGTGATACTTGTTCTTTGAGTCAAACGTGAACATTCCCACATGTAAATGCACTGCAATGTAAAAGAAAAGCATCAGAATTCCGTTCGGTTTAACATGCAGTGTAGATGTTTTTGTGTGAAGACATACGTGAATGTTTTCACTTCATAATGGGCAGTGGATAACTTTAACTAATTAATATTTGGAAAAGGCAGTACATTCTCTTCCAAAAATTAAGATGCATTTTTTTTCTTTCTTTCTGCTTTCTTCCTGAGATTTAGAACCCTACAATTCTGACTGTTTGGCAAAAGAATTGGGGGAAAACAGATACTTGTATGAAAGAGGATTTAGCTGCATTAGAAAATTTTAAGTAGCTGCATTAGAAGACTTGCCCCTTTTAAGCAGTGTGACTCCCCTTTGAATCCATGAGATTATAAACCTTCAGCTTGAATTGAAATATATTTCCCAACCTTTGGCTTGAAGTCACTACCCAGGCCCTGGGCAGTCTCTGTAAGTGAATTCTCTGGCTCTGAAGGGCAGAAGCTGGTGGCTTCACTGCAGGAAACTGGAGGGCATCTGGATAAGCTGAAGAGTGAGTGTCAAGTAGCTCGGCCCAGGTCCACTTCCATTTCGCTCGCTGGGCCAAGTGTGCTAGGACGCTTCTCTCGCATGATGCCATTTTCGTTTCTCAATGAGACTGGAGTGTGGCTGCAACTATTTATACAGATTCGTCAACAAGCTGCCTTGCAGAATCAGCATGGGAAAAGGCAGAGCCATTTTATATGGAAAATGGGGACAATTTCTGGGCCTGGGCTTGCTTTATTGTTCCGGCACATTCTGAGTGAGACTCCAGAGGGAGCAGACGGAGTGAGCAGTGAGCGTGTTGTTCCGCCACCTGCTGGGCTTGGTGTGGGTTTCCTGAGGGCCACGATGTCAGCGCCCTCGGAGGAAGCTTGGCTGTACTCTGAGCGTTAGCACTGGCTCAGGGGATGGCCCGGAAGCCTTCTGTGTTTCATTCTGAATTCTGTCCATTTCTGCAGTTACAGTTGGATAGGCGCGAGAAGTTCTGAGGGTGCGGGCGCTGCATAACAATAATGTAGTATATTTTTAAAAAATCTACAGGAAGTAATTTTGAAAGTTTTCAGCATGAAGTGATAAATGTTCAAAGAGGGAGAGATGTTTACCCTGATTTAAACATTACCCTAGGTATATAAGAGTAAAACATTATTACCTGGTGCTCCATTCATTAAGAAAAATAACCAAAAAATTAGAAAAAAAAATACTTGCCTCTTGCCTGCCAGGAAAGAAATGCCAATGTATACTCCAAAACATTAAGAAAATTATGTATATAGAAACAGAAACAAACATGTCTGGAAGAAAAAAAAATTGGAACTATCCGAATTTGCATTTGGTGTTTTTATAAACAGTATTCGTTAGCAAGTAGGAATTCCCAGTTTATATGATGACTTGGAATATGCATAAAAGATGTTTTGGAGGCTTCCAGCTTCTCTGGACTTTAGCAGTTCCCTTGGAAATAACCCTAAATACGAGCAAAGCTGTGAATATTCGGTCCGGCATCATGTGTACTTTCCTTTTGTTCTTGCTTAGTGGTCTGTCCCATAAGCATGTCTCTTCTACGTAAGCTTTCCACTGCGTTTTTGTCTGTACTTATCGTTTCTATAGCACTGATTTTTAGAATGAAAATCATGTTCAGGGCCTCACAGTCTCACGATCTGTTCCACATATTCCTCGGTACCCACAGTAGCATACAGCATTATGATTTTTAAATGTTGTTTTTAGGCTAAAAACTCACACAGTCATGGATAGAAGCTGTCGTGTGTTGCATACGTGCTTTAGAACGTTTCTGTGTGAGTCAGTGAAGTGAGGACAGACTAGGCCAGAGCTTCTCGTTTTCTTTTTTTTTTTTTCCAGCTTTAATTGAGTTTATTGGTACATTCTAGGTATACAGTACAGTTACATTCATTGTTGGGATCTTGTACCTTTACATGACAAGTCTTGGTTCTCATATTTTCCCCTTGTCCCTGCCCTCCCTTCACCCCCTCAGAGCTTCTCGTGTTTTCTTCATTAGACCTGTGTTGGGAACCACTGGGAGCCCAGCATTTCCCCAGGCTCTGTTTTTCCAAGAATGTAAATCTTACTCTTGCCTTCTTAGAGCCTGCTAGAGACACCAAGTAAAAGGAAAAGCTGCATTTCTCTCTTGCCTTCTTTTGAGAAAAAACTAAGACCGTGTGGTCTTCTGTGCCTACATGACTTAAACCCCACCCTATCTCTTATAAAGGTGAGGCTTCCTCACATATCCCTAAAAGCCAATTTTCAGGATTTTCATTCTTTCTCTCAGAAGGGCTTAATTTCTAGCCCATGTTTCATTTTTATTGCTCATCGTTGGGTCCTCTCCAAATGTCCTTGAAACCAAGTTAGACTGTGAAGCTCAAAACTATGTTCGGAACTCCGATACTGACGCTTGTAATTGCTGAGTGTTTTGGGAGGATTACTTACAATTCCATTAAATGATGGAATGGCTGTTTATGCACCCAGGGTTTTGGTTCGGGCAGGCTTTCATTGCACAGACAGCAAGTTTCTTGTATAATAACATGTGACTTAGTTAAGAAGTCACCCAGCTGTTTTTATGAGCTTTGACTGTGTGTGACACATCATTCTTTATGTCACTGCTGCATTTCCTAAATTGTAGTTTGGCATAGAGAGAATGTCTGAGGTTAGCCACTGAGCCATGCATTCTTCAAATGCAAACAAAAGCCTGCTAGGTTCACAGAGCTCTTCAGGTCAAACAGTTTAGGAAAATTGCATGTATTAGTTACAATCGAATTTTAAGTTTGTCCTATACAGATTTTTAAGAATGGATGGAATCTGGGTGTGGTGGTGCATGCATGTAATCTCAGCACTCAGGAGGAAGCAGGATCACTGAGAGTTTGAGGCCAGCCTGGGCTATACAGTGACTCAAGGCCAGCCTGCAAGACATAGTGAGACTCTGTGTCCAAAACAAAACAATAGGTATGGAAATATTTACTTCTCAGTGGTCTCAAGAATGTAACTTATTTTTTTCTACAAAATCCAGACATGTTAAGGCCTGCCAATAACAAATCATAATAAAAACAAAAAAATGCCTACTAAAATGTAAAATAATGTGAAATTATTATAGCTTATGTTTTTGTTTACTACTTTGTTTACTATAACTATCAAATTTAAGTAAATTGTGATATTCCTTTTTTAGGATTCACATAACTCATTATTATTTTGGGAAAAGTAGAATGTATCTGTAATTGATTATATGTGCTTCTTATAGCATTCATACAACTTTAAAGTTCTTTCTTGGGCTTAAATTCTGTTAGTCTGAGAGAAATAATATTAAAGGTACAGAAACTTTTTACTTTTGATGTCTATTGATTGCTGGTAGATTAAACTTTTGTTAAAATATATTTGTGTTTTACATGAGTTATAAATTCAGAAACTGTGTGGGTTTATTTAATATTTATACTTAATATTTTAATTAACATAAGATATGTGTATCGCTTTATTATTATCTTCAAAGAGTATTTTTAGCAATTAAGTTACAAAAAAGCCCATATAAAATGAAGTGTAATGAGAAA